AACTGAGTGAAAGCATTAGAATATCTGTATTTTTTTCTTATAAAAACATGTGAATCTACAGTTTTCTCAAAATAAAAAGTTTAGAAATAATCAAACCATAGAATGTTATAACAGGACTTTGGAAGTAAGTAGGCCTTACTTGATCTTCACACTAGCTTAAACAAGTTACTGAACCTTTCTGAAACTCAGTTGCTTTGTCAGCCTTAAAGTGGGAATAATAATTCCTACCCAATGGATTGTTGGAAGGATTTTATGAGACAGCGTGTGTGTAAGCATCTTGTATGGCTCATACTCCATGATCATCTTCAATAAATGTTAGGTACTCTCCCCTGTGCTTCTCTCCTTTGTTTTAGGGAAGAAACTAGGACAGTCAGCCTTGCTGTAGCTCTCCTAGAAAAGACACATGACCTGAAGTGAAAGATAGTTCAGAAGCATACACTAGTGAGATGAACCCCATCGCAGTGTAGTGAGTAACGCTGTTACATAACTTCTGCAAATCACCAGGCAGATCAGCTAACGTGGTTTGGCGTGGCTGACCGATAAAATAACAAGGCAGCTTCCAAACCCAGCTTGAGTTGGGGAGTCCTGACAAAGGAGCCAGGCAAAATCCAGGATGAATACATGGGCCTGGGAGCGCTGGTGTTTCATCGGGCTCAGACATGTTGTAAATCTGTTTCAGTGGAAAAAGCAAAAGCGATTTCTCTCTGGCTGGTCCCCTAAATAACTGTCCCCGTGGGGCCTAGAGCAGCTTTCCTTCCCTCGAAAAATCCTTAATCATGTCTCCCGAATATGAGTTTTCCAGGCAGCTGCACAGATGAGAAGGAGGGAGAGACGAGGGAGAGATGAAGGAGAACAGACGTGTGCTGGTTCTGAGGATGTGATTGTTGATTGAATGGCCAAGATGTGTCTCCCACATGTTTTCCTAAAATGTTTAGACTTTCCCAGGGCTCCATCCTTGCCCCTGTCCTGATGAATGTTTTTATCAGTGAGATGGTGAGGAACACAGAAGGCAACCCTGCCAAATTTTTTATGATACCAAGGTGAAAGGGAGTTTGGGGACAGAATTACAATTTTTAAATAATTTTGGCAGGTTCTGAGCTGATCACAGCAAGCTGTAATTTAATAGAGGTGATGTTAAAACCTGTACTTCAACATCAAAAGCAAAGTACAGGTCAGGGAAGGCTTAGATTGAGAAGGGTTGTTGTTGTTGGTTTTTAATGAAAAAAGATATTTGGATTGTATTTGACTATAGAAAGGTATGATTCAATAGTATGATGTGTTTGTAAAAAAGAGGTTAGAGACCTGAAAAAGGAAAATAATCCTTCTACCTTACATAATTTGCATTAGTAAGACAATACTTGGTGTGCTATGTTCATGTTGGGGCCAAATTTAAGAAAGATATTGATAAATTGGAATTGGTCACTAAGGGAAAGAAGGAAAAAGAAGGATCAAATTAAAAATCCAAAAACTACATTCTCTAAAGAATGGTCGAAGGAAAATAAGGCTATTTAGCTGTCTTTTACAGTAACCATATGGAAGAGGAATAAACATCTATTTTGCTCTGAAGGACAGGAATGGGATTAATGAGAGAGAGAGAGAGTTCATGGAAACAGATTTTGGCTCAGTAGAAGGAAATCTTTTCAAATAATTAGAGCAGTTCAGTGAAAATGACTATTTCATTTAAATTGTGAGCTTCCTGTCACTGGAAATATTTAAGCTAAGGCTGGATGAGTGTCTGTCTAGAATTCTGAAGGCTCCCACATTGAACAAGAGCTGGGGTAGGTGACCTTTAAGACCACTTCTAACTCCCAGTGTCTATAATTTAAGTAAGCGTGAATGCCAAGGTCACTTATGACATGCCAGAGCCACTTTTCCAGCTCTTGGCTCTGATTTGGACCAGCTGTGTGACCTTCTGCTAAGAACTGAACCATTCCTTCTTCCAGTTTCCTCATCCATAACATGAGGGAGCTGGATCGCATGATGTCTGAGTCCTCCCCGGCACATCTGTCCCCTGCAGCACCCTCATGATGACAGTGTGTTGGGAAAGTAGAGTTCGAGCTGATATCTGCCATGTGTTGAAGTCCATTTGCAGGGAGAAGGCTTTTAAAAACCAAAAACCATTGTTGATTGTGGGGCTATTGAACTAAAGTCTCAATTGCTTGTTGGCAAGAGAGTGGGTGATTGTGATCCTAGGATTTATTCCCATGAGACCTGTGGCAGGAAGTCGATCAAATAACTGATAATCTGCTTCCTCTCAAGCACCTGTACTTTCTGGCCGAGTTCAGCAATGCGTTTGCAAACAACTTGCAAGAAATGAAGATCATATTACCATCGCAATAGAGTTCTATTTTGCAAAGCAAACCTTTGTTCTTTATTTCCTCAATGATCTGGCTGTTGCTGTTGAGCTTTGTTTATAATCCTAAGAGCCAGTATCCATAAAGCAACTTACCATGTGGCAGAGACTGTTCTTAAAGTTTTATATAAATTAATTTAATCAGTTTATAAACTGAAAATCTAATGACGAAACAATAGATTAGATCCTTTCCCCTATGGTAAAAGAGTAGCGAAGATCCATTAAAGTCTGTCTTATAATCTGCTTCCTCTCAAGCACCTGTACTTTCTGGCCGAGTTCAGCAATGCGTTTGCAAACAACTTGCGAGACATGAAGATCATATTACCATCGCAATAGAGTTCTATTTTGCAAAGCAAACCTTTGTTCTTTATTTCCTCAATGATCTGGCTGTTGCTGTTGAGCTTTGTTTATAATCCTAAGAGCCAGTATCCATAAAGCAACTTACCATGTGGCAGAGACTGTTCTTAAAGTTTTATATACATTAATTTAATCAGTTTATAAACTGAAAATCTCATGACGAAGCAATAGATTAGATCCTTTCCCCTATGGTGAAAGAGTAGCGAAGATCCATTAAAGTCTGTCTTCATGGTAAAGAGTCCAGAATTCAGATCCACAGCCTCATTCTTTTAAGCTTCAGTGCTGATGTTCAATTACTCTAACTTCCTCTGTGGTCCATTTGATAAGCAATACTTTCCTTCTCTGCCTATAGTAAGGTGTGCTAGCCTCCACTGCTACTACATTCTAGCTCTTCCATTTATTCTTTGACGATTCTCTGACTCACACATTATTGTCTCAAATCCCATTTCCTCACTTATTTTCTCTCTGAGGATCTTTGAAAATGGGGGTGTTGGGTTCATTTTCTAGTCAGGATACATACAGGAGGCAACCGATGAATGCATAAATGGGAGGAACAACAAATCTCTCTCTCCCACTCTCTCAAATCAATAAGTTAAAAAAAAATTAAGTATGGACAGGATTTCAAATACCTCCTCCGCTTACTGAGATCAGCAGGGGAAGAAATAAGGAAATTTATGCTTATTGTAAGGATGGGAGAATTTAAAACTCCATTCCCAGGCTCTCGGGTCTGGCAATACTCACTCCATCCAAGTACCACATTTTGTTCCATCCTTTTGTTTCCTAAGGTTGGAAATGAAAACAGCTGTTAGAAATAAGAGCACATGCGTCAATCTTGAATCTCAATGTGATCATTACAGTGTCCGTCTCCGTTGGTGGAGCCCCTCCCAGTGCACTGAGCCCAGCCTCACAGCCCCCTTGTTGTCAGTTTTACATACCCCGACCTTCACTGTTGTTGTCCAAGCTTCTAAGAGTAAACACTAAATCAGTTGCCAAAACCAGAAAAAATAACAAGGAAGAAAATACTTCAATCTAAAAACTTGATTCTTAGGACATGGCTTTTTTTTTCTGATTTAGATTTTGACCAAAATCTCTATGTTGATATAAGAAATGTCAGTTACTGTTTCACATTTTTGAAGATGGAGCTTCTGGACTTCTTGGCACCCTCCCTGTGAAGCATTTTGCTTGGATTCTTTTCTTTCTTTCTTCCTTTCTTTTCTTCCTTCCTTTCTTCCTTCCTTCCTTCCTTCCTTCCTTCCTTCCTTCCTTCCTTCCTTCCTTCCTTTCTTTCTTCCTTCCTTCCTCACCCAAGGATATGTTGTTGTTGTTGTTTTATTGATTTTAAAATGAGAGAGACCAAGGGAGAGAGAGATCGGGATGATGCTCTAACCAACTGAGCCACCCAGCCAGGGCCTGCTCGGACTCTTTACAGAGGTGATGCCTTGAATTTCATTTTCTCTTTCCCACATTCCTGAGGTTTAGAACCTAATAAGCCAATCTCAAAAGAGTCATCCACAGCCTCTTAATTGATTGTCACCTTTCAGAGCAGAAATGCTCTTTTAGTTCTGTTCAGTCCCCGTATGAGCCACTCAGTCCTTGGCTGCCTAAGGCTCTGAAAGTCCCCCATGAATCAGCTGACCAATTTAAGATTGCCCTGCAGACGCAGAGCACATTGTGACCTACACACAGAGAAGCAGGAGGCAAGAAACCAGGCCCTCTGAATTGCTTCACTTTGCCCACTTTATTTCTCATTCTACAATTTGATTTCTTTGTTGTGAGATGATGTTATTTTTATAATTCATTTCCCTGCTAAGATATCTGTAATTTTCTGTTATCATTGTGGACAAAGAGCTGGTTTTATGTGTTGAAAATTGTTTTGGTCAGTTTGGAGTGCTGTAACAAAAATACCATAGTCTTAGAAGTCCAAGATAAGGTGTTGAGGTAGGTAGTGTACAGCCAGCAGGTGCCTAGGTGCCTGAGAGAGGGAAGCAATGAGAGAGAGAGAGAGAGAGAGAGAGAGAGAGAGAGAGAGAGAGAGAGAGATGCTTCTAGTTTTAACCAGTATGCTCAGTAATTGATAGAATTAATCAGCTAGCCTGCTGAGCAAGTAACGTGATCTGTACCTGCAAATGAACTTTGAATTCAGTACTTGCTTAATTTTTCTGTGTCCCAAATTCTGCTCCTTATAATATTCAGGTAATGCTGGGTAGAATGCTGAACCATTACACTTAAAGAACCACAGACAGATGTAAAATATTTTTCTTTGCTAAATGTTCTTACCTCTTTCTTTTAGATTACATGAAGCAGACAACGTTCGAAGCCCAAGCCTTTTTAGAAGCCGTGCAGTTCTTCCGACAGGAGAAAGGTCACTACGGCTCATGGGAAATGATGACTGGGGATGAAATCCAGGTAACACGGAGCTCAGAATTTTGAATCTGGTTTTCTGTCTGGGAGGTGGGCGGCCAGGGTCATAATAAACAATCAAACGAAGAAAGTTATAAGAATGGGAAGATATGGAACCAAAGACCATTTCTCTCATTGTCTAGAAGCTTTTGGTCAGCACCCACTCCAAAGATCACCAGACCAGACATGAGCTAGGGCAGCCAAAAACTGCAAGGACAATGGGAAGAACTACTTCTACTTTTCTCTATAAAAATGATTATTCTTTCAGATGACCTTCTGCTTCCAGAGGAGAAGTAAATGTGAACAGCATGGTTGAGTGCAAAGTGTGTGGTGGGGATTTGGGGCAGCAGACTTGGGTTAGTTCAATCTTGCCAAGTTATTTAACCTCTTTCAGTCTCAGGTGACTCTTCTGAAAGAAAGATAATGTTTGCCTTGCAGGGTTGTAAGAATTAAATGAGATGCTTTGGGAAAGTATTTGGCACACAGTTGCCTTTATCTTTTAAATGACTTGTAAATGAAGTGATTAAAGGAGACACATTTTAAAAGCATGAGACAGTTCTCTGTATGTTTCTAGTTTGCCATTCTCTGTGGTCCAGTAGAATTTTCCATGACCTTAATTAAATGCCAGTCATGGCCTAAGCACCATGACTGGGTCCCTGGGGCATTGTTACAAATCTCCAAGGCAACCATGCTTCATGATGGGACCCCATCCTCCATGAGGACGCCAGTCACAGGGCTGATTCAGCAAGAAGAGGAGGCTGGCTATGGGCCTTATTTAACTAGAGGCACACAGAGTCCATGAATGGTTTTCTTTAATTTCCCCTCATCTCCCAGAGGTGCCTCTTTTGGGAGCCAGTAAAATGTGTTATTAGGGAACAATATTTGGAAGATGCCAGACGGTGCCCTGCCTTTGTATAGTCATGAAACATCCAAAGCTGAAAACTCTTTTCACATGAAGATGGAACTGTTTTTATTGTTTCACCATGTGACTCCGAATCTTCTCCTCCTCCCTCTTCTTCTACTAGTGGATTCTAAATTCTTTTTTTTAAAGTATATTTTTTATTGACTTCAGAGAGGAAGAGAAAGATAGAAACATCAATGATGAGAGAGAATCATTGATCAGCTGCCTCCTATATGCCCCCTACTGGGAATTGAGCTCATAACCGGGGTATGTGCCCTGACTGGGAATTAAACCGTGACCTCCTGGTTCATAAGTCAATGCTCAATCACTGAGCCACACTGGCTGGGCTAAATTTTTTATTCCCCACCCTGAGATTATTCAAGAACTTTTACCAATTCTTGGTTTCTGATATTTTGGGGAAGCACATCTTTTATAAATCTGAGAGGACTAAGGACCAACCATACTTATGCGCCCCCCCCCCAAAAAAAAAGCATAAGGGGAGGCTGAAGTATTTAACCCTGATTGGTCTGTCATATGAACAGACATATTGAGTAGATGCACCAATATTAAAGTGCCCCTGTGCAATACTTTTTTATGTGCACAGCCTAATTCTATCTGTTCATCTTACCAGTCTCATGAGGTGGGTAGAGCAGTTATCATTATTTTCATTTTGTAAATGAGAAAACTGAGGGAGGCCTGTAGCAATTAAGTGACTTGCCCGGTTTTCTCATTCAACAACTGTCTGTGGAGCCACCGTATGCCAGGCGCTCTGCTGGGTGCCGGTGACCCAGGGATGGGCAAAGCAGAACGGTCGCTGTCCTGCGGAGCTGATGGGTTCAGGGTCGCATGCTAAGGGGACAGTGGCCAAGGCAATGACAGCTTCTGACCCCTAGTCCAGTGAAAGATCAGCACCAACCGTGGGAATACACTAACTCACCCAATCAGTGAGCTCCTTGCTTCAGGCTGTGCCACTTGCTTCATTATTTTTTTCTTTCACTTGTAATCTCATGTCAGTTCACATTCCTTCCCCATGCCATGGAGAGCAGGCACCTCATAGGTCCTTCCTGTGGGTTGACTATTGAGTCTGTTGTTTTGCTTTTGTTGACACTCAGCTTTTGGCTGTGGGCTGATCCGTGCAGAGTGCTCTGGGGTACGAGGGAGCTAAATGACTCATCCCCGGCCCTGTCAGTGAGGCAAGACCTACCCAGAAACATCCAGAGAATGAGGCAGCCTTCGAAGTGTGGGTGGGTGCGTATGTGGGGCTGTACATATATGGGCATCTTAAAGCAGCAGCAGAGAGCAGTCATAGGAAGGTGCTAATGTGGAAGGATAAAAATACCCTAAGGGGAAAAACAAAACCAATGAAAAACCCCGAGAAGAGGTCAGTAAACGCTGGAGTTAGCGAGTGACCCAAGAGGTTTGGCTCCCCCTAGAATCTGAGCATCTTTGGTGAAATCATAGACTCATAAAACGTGAGTGTTGGAGGGGAATTTCCAGATCATTTGTCCCGGACCGTCCAGGAGAGAGAAAGAACCTCCAGAGATGTTAGTTGGCGGAAGTCACAAAGCCCATCTGTGACAGAAATGCCTTTTGAGCCATGTCAGGCTCTCCCTGGAGAAGCCAGTGAAAGGTAATGGCTTCCAGAACTTTCCTGGGTGGGGCCTGGTGAGGGTAAGCTGCACTGTAAGCTCTTCTACACAGAGCTGGAGCAATGTCTGTCCTCAGACGCACAGAAAAAAGAGGTCGGGGGCCCAAAGCAGCTGCCCAGTAGTTGAAGGATGTGGTGTGGCGTTACTGGGTTTGAGAATATGACATCTTTTATTTAAAGCACTGGGCTTGTTTGCATTGTTTCTACTAAGAACTTAGTCATAAAATTGTTCTAACCCCCGCTACCCTAGGGGCCTGTATTCATATGTTCATTGTTGTTACACTATTATCTTCACAGTCATGAGTCACACAACACGTTTGGCAGGTCCTCGTGGCCGTGGTTATTTTAGGCAAGTGTCCAGGCAAAGCAGATCTCTCAGAATAACTTTTCTGACAGGCTATTAATACAGAATATTAATATAGACAAAATTACAATCGTTCCCCCTTATCTGCGGTTTTGTTTTCCAAAGTTTCAGTTACCTGCGGTCAACTATGGTCTGATACTGAATGGAAAATTCCAGAAATAAACAATTCAGCCAGTGTTGCTCAGTGGTTGAGCACGGACCAATGCACCAGGAGGTCAGGGCTCAATTACCCGGTCAGGGCAGTCAGGGCACATGCCTGGGTTGCATGCTCGATCCCCAGTCGGGGGTGTGCAGGAGGCAGCCAATCAATTATTCTCTCTCTTCGTTAAAGTTTCTATCTCCCCCTTTTCCTTCCTCTCTGAAATAAATGAATAAAGCATACTTATAAGAAAGAAAACAGAAACAAGCAATTCATAAGTTTTAAATTGTGCACCGTTCTGAGTAGCATGACAAAATCTCTCACAGCCCTGCTTCATTCTGCCTGGGAGGGGAAGCATCCTTTGTCCACCGTCTCCGCATTGTACGTGCCACGCGCCCCTTAGTCACGTAGTAGCCACCTCCGTTATCGGATCAGTTATCAGAGAGAAAGATGAGAGAGAGACCACATACACATAAACTCATATTACAGTATATTATGATAATTGTCCTATTGTATGATTAGTGATCGTTATTGATTTCTTACTGTGCCTAATTTGTAAATTAACTTGATCACCACTATGTATGCATTGGAAAAGACCTACTTCATCTAGGGTTCGGTGCCACCTGCGGTTCAGGCATCCACCAAGGGTCCTGGAATGCATCCCTCCCGATAGGGGGGGACCACTCTATCTGTACAGCAGTAAATATATCTTCTACTTGTCAGCATCAATGTATCAAATGAGGTCATGAGGGAAAGCATTTTGCAGAATGGAAGGATTTTGTTATTTGGGATATTTATCATTTGCCTTTAAATGATCAGTGGGCCCGAGAAAGCAGCATTGCCACAGAATAGGGCGGCTAAAATACAGGAAAACTGCCTACATTTTTTTAGGCCTTGTCCATAGGTTTCAGGGTTAGAGGAAGAGATACAGGTGGGCTCTGCACCCAGAGGCTCTGCCCTGCCCTGTGGCCATCCCTCGGCCCCTGCCCTGGCAACTCCCATACCCTCCTCTTTTCCCCTAGATATATTTCCTCTTCAATTGCTGAAGTTATAAAATAGAACCAACTTTCTTGGAACATTACATGGGAAAGACTAAAAGAAAACGCTAAGCCCACCCCAATGGGGCATTCTTTTACTTTGTGACATTTCCGCGTTCATGCTGATGTGCAGATTGAAATCTCTGCAAAACTTTGCAATCTGTGTAAAAAGATGAATCAGGGCAATTACTATCGTTAGGGCAATTATCTCGCAGTTAACACTTTTCAGCTGAGGTAATATTTCCCACTGATTTTAAGTTCTGGCTTCAGTCTCCTCACGCTCTTAGCTCACTCTCCCCACGCCACACTTTCATCACTCTTGGGCAGATGTGTTCCAAACAAGAACTGACTCCGTTGAGCAGGTGGGGGGTGGGATGAGGGGAAGGGGGAGGGTCCATGGATCATTAATTACCAGCTTGAATCTCTAGCTGTTGGATCTGCTGGCTTCCATGGCGTTTGCGCATGTTAAGTTCCTAAAGATGCTGGTTCACCTTTTGAACTCCCCAAGAGAATGGTTAAGAAAGGTATAAACATTCCCCTCCCTGCCCCCCAGGGAATTACCAGGACTAGGGGAAATCCTCTCTCCATCATGCTCTTTGTCACACCACGGAGTTCCACGTCTCCGATGATGGGCCCCCACTTCCTGCATTGGCCCCAGCAGCCTTCTCTCCCAGAAACCCACAGGTGCGGGAGCCTGATGGAGGGCTTGCCCACCTCCACGCTGGGAGTGCTCCTCCTAGGTTCAGCTGGACCACCACACCCCGCGGTAGCAGCCCTGGTGAAAGGCAACGTCCAGTGAGTTCATGAAGATTTCCACCAGCATGAGGCTGGGCGATGACCTCAGAGAAAATCTTTCTTAGTTAATTCCCCAAGTTTAATTTTAATTCCTATGAGGTCAATTATTTTGGATAAATATTATTTTCAATTCTTAGTGCAGACGTCAAATGATTCTGTACTGTTGTGCCTGCCTCCATTTCCCAAATGACTTTTGTTGGGGTTTTTTTTGTAAATCTTGGTCTGCAGCCGGATGCAGTATTGAGAGCTGAAAGCTGAGCTGTGAGCCCTGAAAGACGCAGGGCAACGTGAATTTGAACAATCGGGCAGCTCCAAGTGGGGGGTGTGGGGATGTAAAGAAGAGGGGCCGGTGTACTTGGAGTGTGATGTGGGGACCCGTGGAATCCCGCTCTGATTCAGAAGAAACAATTTCATTGAACCAAGCAAAATGCTAGAAGAGACTTGAGAGCACTTTTAAAAAATCACCTTGAAAATGTTCGACACCCCCTGCCCACCCCCAACACACACTTATACGCTGCTCATCCCACACATGTCTAGTTATTCCTAAGTGTTTGTGACTCCCTTCTTTTCTAAATTTGAAAGGGGATGGAGGTGGGGTTCAGGGAACAGTGAAGTCAAGGAGCATGAAGTCACTTGGAACCTGAGGGAGTCTGAGGAGGAACGATGGTTTGGGGGGATACAGATAAGGACTCAAGCCACCACGACCAAGCCTGTCCCCTTCACAGTTTTCCTAAGGATGCCCTTATCCAGAATTGAAGCGTCCCCTCTCTTCCCAAATGCATTAGCTTCTTCCGGTTTTCCGACAGGAGACGTTTGATTTGAGGAATTTGTCCTTTCTGATGGGGAAACATTAGCAGGAGTTACAGTTCCGTGTGGATGTTTATGAATGTTTGCCCTCTGAGGTTGTCTTCATTGGCCCAGAATGAAACTGTTAACCTAGCAGGTTTC